ACATTTCTCTGGCAGGAAATGCATACTACTTCCGGCCTTTTATGCCACTTCCAAAAAGTCAAAACAAAAAGCCGACTTCAGTGCAGTGGCTGTAGCGACGCGCTGACCACTCGCTATCCACTCCGGCATTTGAAATTCATTCAATTCGCACCAGAGTGTTTTGTTTTTACTTTCTTTCTTTCATTTTCCGTTGCTGAAATATTTTTGCGATATTTGCCACAGCATACGCGAAGTATGTGTGCGTTTTGTTGAAGTAGTTGTATGCCCGTATTCTTTTGATGTATACCGCTGTCGTTTAAAATGCAACATTGAGCTTTGCCAAGAACCCTGAAAATACATATGAGCAATAATATGGACAAACACAAAAGCTTTCAGCAAAAAAAAACAATATATATTTTTTAAATGCTATTATATGCATCGGCGGTTGCCAAATATTTGACCAAATGCATTCACATGTCGGTTTGTCGGTTAACAGTTTTGCGCAAGAATTTCGTCTTTCGCCAGTGACCACCTTTACTTTATAAAAATTGTGTTGTTAAAGAAATTAGAATTTATCTATTTTTGGCACAAAAATTCGCTAAATTTACTTGCCCACATTAATTCTTTTTAGCTCTTGCCATTGAAATAACAGTTGTAGATAACTTTGTCAATTTCAACTCAATTGCGAATTTGCCAAGGCTATCGTTCGGTTTCTTGGCTGTGAAAAGCATATTTTTGACTTTTTGCCTTTTTCACAACAATAATTATAAGAATCATTCAAAATCAATAAAAAAAATAATGAACGTTAATTTTGGCTGCGCCAAAGCTATAATATCTTACACAAATACAAAACATTCCTTACAAGAATTTGATTTTGATCGTTCAGTTTGTATGGCAGCTGTATGCTATAGTGGGCCGATCTGAAGAATATCCTCGGATATTGCACTACTGCCTTAAACAATAACTTTAGCCAAATTTCGTGATGATATCTTGTCAAATGAAAAGTATTTCCAAAAAAGAACTTGATTCCGATCGTTCAGTTTGTATAGCAGCTATATGTTATAGTGGTTCATATCGACGATTTCGACAAGTGAGTAGCTTTTTAGGGAAAAAGAACATGTGACACTCGATATCGATTTGAGGGACTCGTCAGACAAACATAGCTGAAGCGAGACAGCACGTCATGCTGTTCAGTTATATACACATATACTTTATAGGGTCTCCGACGTTATGCTGTGGAAATTTTACACGCTGTTAATCTTCTCTTGAATATCTGTAAACAACGTGGCCGATAAGGTATTCATAGGTCGGTACGGCGCTGAAATCAACGACAAGCAACCGAAGACCGATGAAAAGTTGAAAGACTCTTCATTTTCAGTACAATATTAAAGTGCAGCTCCCCAATTTTTCTTCAACTATATTCTTCCATGCAGTGAATTCTCTGCACAACTTAAACAGTGACCTCATTTATGGCTTCTAATGTTGGAAATTTTCCATTTATGATCTAAAATTCACTTTGCTCGTGGTTCGAAACAGCCGCAAATTGCTTGGTGTAATTGAAAATGAAACAAAAAATAAAAAAAAAAGAAACTGCTACATACTTTATCTTTTAGATAACTCTATTCGCTTTATGCTTAAACTTTCAGTTTTTCGTTATTGAGGTTAGTTTGGCAACAGTTACACACACACATACATACTTATTTGGCATGAAATATTAGTGTAACTGGCTAGCTTCTCGGCCAAAAGCGAGACCATAGATAACCGGGCTGCATTAAGTGCCTACAACGGAATACGTTAGTAAGTCGAAATACGCTGCTACACATACATTTATACATATCTATGTGCGTGTGAGTGTCTAAGACTTGCATTGTGTCTGGGTAGAAGCATATTTCGCCTGCAGTGGCTTTTAAGTTTATTAAAAAGCAGCACAACAATTCAGTTACGCTTGCCAAATTTCGCAGCAAAGCAGAATGAGAGAGAGAAAAAAATGCAGCAAGAGTGGGAGACGAAAAATGGCAGATTCGTAGCACAGCAGGGGGGACGGCAGTGCAGTCGCGGAACGGCAAAGTGCCGAGCAACCAACCTTGGACTTCTATAGTCAGGCTATTGTGCCGATGACAGATGCATCAATCGGTAAATTTATGTGTGTGCGCAGCGACTTAACACCGACTTGCACACAATTTTCCCCTCCACCTCATGCACTCCGCCCTCTATAAGCTGCTGTGTCGAAATGTGCTGAGTTTTTACTTTTCCAGCGTTTCCTTAATAAATTTCTCGAGCAAGTTCTTATTTTACCGTTTTATGCTTTTAAAATTTGTTGTGAGTGCACACAGTATCGCTAGCTGTGCTTGTTGTTATAGCAATATACCTTGTGGGTTGGTTTTTGTAGGCGCTCGTATGTGTATGGCGCTGCCGAACTTTTTGACTAGGCATGACTGGAGTTGCATGTGAAAAATCACAGAGCAAACAATGGAACTATTGAGCGAAACAAGTTGTGAGAAAATAGCAACTTGTCGAAAAAGAGGTTTTTAAAATGTAGCCAAACTTGGCGAAAACTTCGGTTGTACAGCAATTGCATTTCAATGCAAGAAGCGGGGGTGAAAGTGTAAGGAAAGTGGTTAAAACTTTGCTAAACTGCTTAAGCAAGTTGTGTCGAAAGGAAATAGAGGCAAGTAAGTTGAATTCGCTTTCGCCACAAAACGAATGTATGAGTGTGCGATATGTTAGGGCTACAGCCAAACATCTGTAGAAACATAAATTGTTAATAGCTATGGCTTTGCGGAGAATCGTATGGTTTGAAATTGTGGCCCTTCTGCGAAGATCATGTTTTATTTCAAAAATGTTAAAAGTGGTCATAAATTTCATCGAAATTTAACTTTTATAACTGCATAGAATAGAATATATGTATCTTTACCTTCACTTTAAAATCATAACTTGAAGTCAATGAAAGAAGAACTATGCCGTAATGTAACGGTTAACTGTTGCTTCAAATTTGCATTTATCTGCGAAAATCTTAAATAAGGTCACTCGTTCTTCTGTTAGCAAGTACTACTTAAGTTGGACTTAAGAAAATTAAAAAAATCATATTATCTAAACAGGCAACACCGCAGCTAACTTCACTTCAAAAGTGAAGCTGCTTGAATATTCCTTAATTCTAGAAGATTAAGAAGTAAGCGATGTTTACTTTTACAAAGCCAAAAGCAATTGATATTTACTAAAAACGCAAATTAGATGAACCTTTATCCGAATAAGTTTGCTTTTTCCTGCTGGGCGCTAGATTGTCCACACACAAAATAAATACAAATACACCTTTAATTCGATATATAAAACCACCTACTCCAAAACTTTCGTAAAACTGATACTCTACGCTGTTGCAACCACCAAGGAGCGCCTCTTTACTACAGCTGTCACTAAGGTGGAGACTGTGGACCATCTCACAGTGACCACTCACCGCATACAATGAGCTACAATTTCAGCTCTATTCAGAAACCACATTTTTCTTTACTCCCGTCTCTGGTACTCAATTCTTTTATTTTCTGTTGAATTTCATTTTGATTTCGGTAGGTTTTCTTCGCCAATTTATTTTCATGATTTACCACACCAACTACATAGTATATATGTATGTATGCACACATGAGTATAACATATGCTTTTCGTAGATACATGCGAGCTTACAGTCTAACTATGTACTAGTATCTGCTACGTTGTACCATTGCTTAAGCTCTACAAGTTCCCATAGCTTCAAGTGTTCTTTTTTTTTTGCATTTTCTCAATTTCTTTTGCTTGTTTTTTCATATGCGGTCGATTTTTCTTTGATTTGCCACTACTTTTATTCACTTTATTCGCACACGCTCACACATGTACACACATGCTTATGTAGTGGCTTCCATCGTTTGGTGATATATAATAAAATTATTTGTATCAAATTGTGACAACAAAGCTCACGCATTTACGCACTACCACACTTACACCAACACACCATGTATTCAATTGAATTCAATTCAGCCAGACAAAGTAACCGAAATAATACTTAAAGCCAGCGAAATACAGGCACTCATAGTTTGGAAAATTATTTTCAAAGCCACACATATACACGCTGGTAATGTGCTGGAAGTGTGGCGTGTAAATGTGCAGACATCAAAGTAGATTCAAGTGTATTTCTTCTCATATTCATCACGAAGCCAGTCAGACACGCAGCCACTGTGCTCTAAACGCATCTTAAAGCCTCAATAAATTCGCTATTGAGTAGTGTCCATTGTGTGGCGTAATGATTTCATTTGTGAACTGAAATCGAATTAGAAAGTTTCTTTACTTAGTTAGAAGGTTTAGTTATGCTTTTTGTATTCTTAATGAATTCGATGTGCTTTTATAGTTTAGTTGTAGTCACTTTTCATGCTTATAATGGCTTATAAATAGTTTTGTTAAAGAAAATGCTTTCCTTTCATTCGAAGTGAGCTTTCATAGACTTTCAAGTGAGTAATGTGCTTCGCTTTTACAATATTTTATGGTAAAAAAAGGACTGCATATTTCAGGCAGATTCATTGTAATGTTTCACAAGTTCATATTTATTGTAGAAGACTTAGAGATAGCTTGTAAAAATATAGGAGCGTACCAAATGAGTTGTGTTCTTGTTACATTAAGGGCTTCTTCGATCTCTATCTCTCTCTTGGTAACGAGTTAACGTGATAGAACGTGACGTAGAATTACTTGCGCGAGTTTTCCGAATTGTCTGCGATCCTACGATGTACTTCTAATGCTTCCTTGGTTGACCTTCCTGAATATGATATGTAGTTGTAATACCGGATAGTTTGACCAAATAGTTACATGCACACAATATTATATTTTTGAAGAGCAAAAAATAAATGTACACTACATGGAGGCTCTAAGGGTTTCTGTGTTTCTCAGAAAGGGATGTGAATCCCTGTAGAAGTTCGATAAATTTAGATTTATTTTCTTCTGGCACATCAACTTTCCAGTGTGTGGCCAACATATGTCTTAACAAACTCTAACTTTGTTCTTACCTTCTTGTACAGACAAAGTACAGTCTCTTGATCTTTTGACACTTGCTTTAATGTCCATATCAGATAACTGAAAATTAGTAAAATATTCGGTAAAGTGTTGACAAAGCGTATTTCTTAAATAGTACAGTTATTGATTTCAATATTTGCATATAAAGCTATTGGCCGCAACAGCAACAGAAAACCGAATAAACACAGTGTGCAAACAAATTGAGCTCAATGAATGCGCCAACAACAAAAGCGAAGTCAACTTTGGTAATAACATTCGTTATTTGTTTAAATAAATAATTTTTCGAGTGAAATAGAAACGAAGAAACAACAACAAAATCGGCTTGATTGCTTTAGGAATGAATATGAGAATAAAATAAGCTTAAAGCAGGCGCTTTTTAGCACAAGGGCCGTACTATAAAAATAGATAATAATTTTACAAGCAAGTGAAAGCTAAGAGAAAAGTAATGTGTTTAAAAAAAATATCTTCAAATTTTCAATAACAATGACAATAATTAGATTTAACTGTTATTTTATGGTTACTTATTTCACTTATAAAGAGTTATTGTTAATAAAACAGTTTATTGAAGATCTAAGTGTTAGAAGCTCAACTGTTAATAATGCAAAAGTAAAGAGAAAGGATACAATTTTCCAAACGAAAATGAACAAATATCTCATTAAGGCAACAAAAACTTTCTACTTGAATATTTAAGCAGATACATAAGAGTAACTGTTGCACTTTCCGGTCGCTTTTAAGTGTCTGACGAGAGAGCCAGACAGACAATTGAACATTGCCCATCCCATCAAAATGTCATGTTATCAGAGACTAATACACAACAAGAACAACAACTTGCATAATATAAACTGGAAATTACATTTACATTTCCACCCGGCAGCACTGTGAGTAGCGTGTATCCACAATGCTGATAGAGCAGCGTAGCCACACGAACGTTGCTGCAACAGTCTGCCCGCCAGTCAGTCAGTCAGCTATTCATCGATATCGAAATTACATTGGGGAAATTGAAGCTCAAATCGAAATGGGGGTAATGAAATTGCTGTCATGAAACAAACCCCAATACGCCCAGTCAAGTGCTGCGCAGCACTGTTTATTTGCACAAGCATAACTATACATACATATTGTATATATGGTATGTGTGGGTGTTTGTATTTATGCATAACGCACACAGCCTTATTGATGAATGTTGTTGTACTTCGTTTTTTTGTTTGTTTTGCTGAGTGAGCATATGCGCACCGGAAACGGAAACCATACAAATGAATGCAAACGGAAGTTAATATGAGTGCGAAGGCAAAGAGCAATGCTGCGAAGCCGCCTGCCTAACTCGCGCATTTAATTGCAAAGGAGGCGCATATCTGAAACAAAGTAGTCAGCTGCAGTCCAAAAAATATTTCGTCCAAACAGCCGTTGGGTTTTGTGAAAAGTTAACCCACCGAATTGTTGTGTTCTCTGCATTTTCTTAGCAGCGATTTTGTGCGTGGCTTGGTGTACAGTTATTAGCAAATACGAAACGGATATTCGTTCATTAAAAATGCACGCTGACTTGTCAGCATCCGCACGAAATTGATTTAATGCTACCTTTCAAAGAGTACCGCTTTATCAGCCCGCTTCCGTAAGGCTTTTGCGGCCGAATTTGGTTATATTTGTTGGGATTTGTTTACGGTTGGCAAGGTTTGGCTTTAGACTGCGGATATTCGCTTCGAATCTTTACGCTACACAGGTTTCCGCAAATCAGTTGTCTTGAATTAAAGGGTGGTGCCACGCAACAGTTGCCTTTTATTACTAGTGTATCTATATAAAAGATTGTCAATTAGTTTTGGACAATGGCTCCAAGGTAGCAGATTAGTCCGTTGGCCTAAGCTCCGATCACGGTTAAACAGAAGACACAAATACAACAACATTGGCTCAAGTTCATCGTTCCTGTCACTTCGGAAATAAGCAGCTGAGTATGTCTCTTCTCCGTTTTACGGTGTTAGGCAGCACCCTTTATTCGAATAACCATAACGCTTATTTAGCCGAAGGGTCAAAAATGTGATGGGCAACTGTTAAATTAGTCATCGATTGTAAGTGGTCTTTTATGTTTACAGGTAAGCTATTTTGCTTCGTTTTTTATACTTTTACGTCCGTTTCCTGTGAAAAGCGGTGAGATTATTTGAATAGTTGGCAATGAAATGAAAATTGACTTTGATCTCATGCCATAAATCCACATTTCGGCTGAGGAGTTTTGACGAAAGGTGCTGCTCAGAATTGTTTGATTGTTTATTTGGCTCGCTTGTTGACTCACTGCTTTCTCATTGGCTTAACTACGCAAAGCTGAGATTTTCAACGCCTTCGGCAATTAGTTATGCACAAAGTCATTTCGGTTTTGTAAGCTTTGGAGTGCGGTTTTTGTAAAAAGCGGGCAATGTAAATTATTTACGTAAGGTGGAATATTACTCTAAATAAGACGCTAAACACTAAAGAACCTTTTTATATGCGTGCATAATAGAAGCGAGCCTCATTTGAAGTTACGGTTCGCTGGCAGCCGTTGTAATATGCTATGAACGAGGAATTCGTAAAATTTATAGGTTTATTGTAAATCTGATAATTATTATGTTGAAAACTGTAGGTTCTAATAACAATTATTAAGTTATAGAAAAATTGTATGGCATAATAATGAACAGCTTAAAAATACTATAGCTACGTCATAAAATCCTTGAGATCGTTCTCTCGACATGTAAGTCCACCGACAGTAACGTATACAGATATTACAGATATACAGAATGTAGGAATATTTTCTATCGTTACAACAATAACGGAGAGATGTATGTACTGTACAGTTAAGTTAAACCACTGTAGTCAGTATTTCACTCACTTCTAACCCAAAAATATTTAATTTCTTTAACTAAGGCCATAATGTGAAAATGTATTAAATGCTCCCAGTCTTAAGTATTACCAACTGTAACTTAAAAAACTGACTTTACAAACAGGTTTTGTGCATAAAATGTGCATTACCCCTTAAAATCTTTCTCTACAAACCAAATATCGTGACTTCCGTTCCGAAAGTTCACAATTGAAAACAGCTTTGGAAGAAGTTTGTCACCTGTTTAAGAGTTCAATTTATAAATATACAGAAATAAGTGGATTACTTGCCTTGTGTCCTATGTGTTTCAAGCTAAGACATTTTAAAGCAGCTTACTTTGGAAATATTTTTGAGAAGTGTAGCCATATTTTCCAAATTTGCCTTTCAATCAGATTAGTAAAATAAAAAAAGGTTACAAAAGTTGGTTATCAAAACTTTCAGAAAGACCTATGTTGGGTATACTTTGTGTTTGAGTAGCGTTAAAATCTGTTGTGAAATTCTTAAGAAAAAAGTAAGATGAAGAAACACTTGTATGAAACTGTAAAAGTTTAAGGCTTGTAGTTTAAGATACTTACTGAAGAGTATTGCCATCTATTTCTATACTCGGATTATAACTTATACCATATAATAAACAATATTGTGAACACAGCAAACAAGCTAGTCAGGTCAATGAAAGATTTCTGACGGAAATAATTTATACATGGTCGCCACTTTTGCAAAAAAACAATATTCTTTTTCAATTTTTTATATGTATTCAATGTTTCGAAGTCGATGCACAAGAAATGTCTGACTTTTGTCGTGGTTCTAAGCACACGATTTCTTTTCTACAATTTACAAAATGAATAATTCAACTTATTAATTTATTACACTTTTGTTTGAACACAGTCACGCTTTTAAAATTTAATTGTTATTCTTTATTTTTTGTTGGTTACATTTCAACAACAGAACTTTGCTTTTACTCTCGTGCTGTTTTTAAACTTTTCTGGGCGCAAACACAAGCATAAGTGTCCATAAATAGTATAACGTTAATAATTAATAGAAATGTTGTCCCGAACATTAACGCTGGAATAAGCAACAGGCTTCTTCATGTTATCGCTTTCGAGTGGGCAGTGCAGTTGGGAGCACACACTTTCGCAAATATTGCATCCCAGCAAGGAAGCAAGCCACAGCAGGTTGACGAAAGGAGTGTAAGTGAGCAGTAATTGAGTTAGCTGACAACGGCGCAAATATCACTTCGTATCTATTCCTGTTGCACTTCACATCGCCAAAAATGTGACTTTTTTTTCTTCACGTGCTACCTCTTGGACCATTGACGCCTGATTTCCCCAGCTTCGCCAAGGCAAGTACACATTCCGCTCAGAGCCGTAAGAAATTGCTAAGTACAAGGAACAGCAATTGTAAGCACTTATTTATGAGCACTTATGTTTCGATGCAGTTTCTCTTTATTTCGTATTTCTTTGGTGCGGTCAGCAGCTGTACTGTCACTATGCTGTATCTCCTTGTTGTCTCTTCTTATGCCACTCTTCGTAGTGAACACAGCTTTCGTAGCGAATGTTGTTTATGTGTGACGTTAACTTTGGACACACTTGTCATGGCTTACCGTACACCATAACTGGGCCATTATAGCCACACTTGATTGCCTTGTTGCCATTTCTGTTATTGTTGTTGTTGTTTATAATAGACGGCATGACAGCCCTGGTGAATCGTTAGTTATTTTCAGCGTTTGTCATCGCCACCACAGCACATGCCCCTGCACTTTTCAACTTAATAACTTTCGCTATACACCCTCCACCGCCACCATTGGGTGTGTCTTCCAGTTTTAAGCAACTTTGTTGGTTGTAGGCTACCTTGATGGTCTGGAATATGAAAATAACTTTACGAGCTGACCAAGTTCTTTAACGGCTCAATCCACTTAGTGCCCAAAGAGACTTATAAAGCAGGTGGGAGGAAGGTAGGGAGAGGAAGCGGTGTTAAATACTGTAAAATTTGTTCTACACGCTTGTTCTTGATGCGCAGTATCGAAATGGAATTCGTTGGCTGTGTGTGTGTGCTATAAGGTAAAAACTACAATGAAAAAAATTGCTGAAATGACGGATTATTATTATTTGACGACATTTCGATATTTTCATTGACAATCAACTCGGCATTTTCACAGCATATTGATTGTAGCGGTTTTAGAACGGCATGCAGGACACGAACTCGGTTCCAGTCTTAGACTCTCTCT